AAAGTGAATACAAAACTACCTAGCTAGCCATGTACTCTAAGGGGTACATTCCCTTATCACATCAACACTTTAACCGTGCAGCGCAGGAATCGCTTTGAACCGGTTTCCTCCATTTTCCTGCTGCTGTATCTGCATGCGACGGTCACGATGCCATGTGACCCTTTGATTATTCTCGACCCTTCGTCTTCATCCTCGATAGTGTCTTGACATTGTTACGTACAGTAATTTTTAGTTTCATTCCTTATCTTAACACCGTCGACGAAGTCGGGTCAAGGTCGGTGCCCATAAGAGCGGGGATGTTGAAGGAAGTTGGCCCCGCCCTCGCATGGGCAAAGCCGACTTCGTGGTCGGGTGCGCAGGAGGTGCAACCGACCATCTGCAGAGGGTCACATCGACTTCGTGGTCGGGTGCGCGGGAGGTGCAGCCGACCACCCGCAGAGGTCGACGCCAGCCTGGGCGTGCAGGTCGACGAAGGTGGTCGTCGACCTGCGCGGAACGACGGTGACATCGTCAACGAGGGTGGTCGACGAAGGTCGTCGGCCCGCGATGAGACGACGAAGGTCGTCGACCCACGACGACGAAGGTCGTCGACCTTTGATGACGGAGGTCATCGGCATGCAGGGTCACATGGGACTTTGCCCGGTCGACCATGTTACCTACTCGACGATGTTCTACAGAGGTACGCGAACGTCGTCGAGGCTGCTGTGGCGAAGTCGACCGACGTGGCAGCACGTGGTCGACGTGGCTCGTCAGGTGCAACCGTCGGCATGTGGCCGACTTGGAACCTGGGCAATGTGCGCAACAGTGCTCGTCATGCGTAACTGTCTACAAGCACCTGCGAAGTAGGTGCTTGCACATGCGCCTACAATCACCTGCAGATGCAACGTTGGCAAGCCGCGCGGGTGCTATGTTGGCAAGCCGCGCGGGTGCAGCGTTGCCAGGCCGCCATTCTGCAGCGTTGGCATGTCGCGCACGAGCTGCGTTGGCGTGCCGCAGACTTGCTACGTTGGCAGGTCGACGACTTTGTCGCGCTGGCGGCCGACCTGCCTGAGTGCTAGGCAGCCTTTTCATCTGATGTAGTCAATCTTTGTCATTGCTTGTTCATTATGTATTCTCAAATTTCCTAGTGAAACTCTTGCTGTCTTTCCCTGTGAACGCACAAGTGCTAGAGAACACAGACAGAGCTACGATCACTCTCACAACCAGTGCCTACCCCATGATCTAGTTCCCACCGTTGTAGAGATTTTCTCCTCAGGGGGATACCAGAATAAACGTGTCATGGTTATGCTGGCGTGCATATCAACGGGCGAGAAACTCAAAGAGTGGGTGCTATTCAAGAGCGCCCGGGTTCTAAAGGGTGATTTCCCATCAAATGAACAACGTGTGCTAGTATTGTAGGTGGTTGTTATTCTTCTGTGATTGTTTAGTGTCTTCCTGTTCTAACCACAGTGCCTTTGAAATTCATTACGAGATGATTCTTAACGCGTCAAATTCTGAACAACCACCACCCCTACAATTTCAAGACCTGCCAATCCAAAGGCCCGCTATATCAGGCAGATAGAGCTTGCATTCCTGTTCGAATCAATCATATTTCTCTCGACAATGGCGCTTTGCCCTCTAGCAGGCGCCACGTCTCACGCCACTCAAAACCCTCTAGCGTCGAGGCCACCCCAACCGTCGATTTCCGGTCGGAGCGCGTCATCTCTATTTTCCCCCCAATTTTTTAAATTTCGCCAATGCCGCCAGCAGCCTTTGCCACAACAACGGGCTGGGAGCAGAACCTTGGAAAGCCGGAGGGCTGTCGCTGTTATTGCTATGAGTGCGAACCAATCGGACGCTGCCACGACAGCAGCTTCCGAGGCTAGCGGTAGTGAGTGGCTGGATGCGATGCGGCTATTACTCTAGGTCTTTAGTATTTGCGAAATGTGGTTACAGCAGGCTATCTCCTTCACGGCTGAGGGAGGAGACAGTCTGCTGTTACGCCTACAACCATTACCAATCTCCCTCCCTTCCCCCTACCCTCGTTCCCCCTCCTTTCCCCACAATCCGCCGGTTTCATCCACTCATATCCAGCTCCTGCTTCTGCGTTTATCGGGTTGCACCATGTGGGGATACTGTGCGCGGATCTGGAAAAGGCACTTGACTTCTACTGCGGTGTGTTGGGTGAGTGTGTGTGCCGGGTTGACTTTTGGGTTGACTCCAAGTCACCTCCGGATAGGTCACTGAACTTCGACTGACCTGGTGTTCGGTTAGATTGTGGCGGGATAGTGAAGAGCAAAGCAGAGCTGAAGCAAATGAAGAGTAATTTAGAGATTATTAACGCACAGACAGAGATGGCAGGCTGAGGTGAAGTGAACTTTTCGACTCTAAAGGCACTGCGGTGGCTGGGTGGGTGTGATGGGACGGCAGAGCAGGGTGCAGAGTTACGCAGGGACAGAGAGCATACATTTAAGTGAAGGCTGAAAATATTATTATTAGAAAAAAAAAAAAAAAAAAAAAAAAAAGTGTGAGCGTGCTGTAAGATGTGTCGTGCAAATCCGTGAGCGTGCATCTTGACTTCCACACCTCCTCCTCTGCCTCCTGGTAACCATCATCTGGTTGCATTGTTTTCCACCCTGAAACAGGCCTGGAGGTGAATGATTCACGGCCCAATCAGAAGCTGCCATATGGCGGCAAATGGTTGTGGATTGGCCAAGGGGAGGGCAGCAGGGGCGGCATGATCCACCTCATGGTGCTGCCGAATCCTGATCCGACATCTTGCAGACCCGAGCATGGCGGCCGGGACCGACACACGTGCATTGAGGTTGCTGATGTGGCGCCGCTACAGGCTGCTTTGGATAGAGCAGGTGAGAAGCCGGCATGACTGGCATGGCATCCGATGGATTGCATGGCATGGGATGACATGCATGGCATGAGGTGTGTCAAGGATAAGCCGAAAGGCTGGGGAAAGGCGATAACCAGCACGAGCCAGTGAAAGGTTGATGAGCACTTGAGGCAGCTAGTTTGCCATGCAACTGCTGCGTCTCCTTTCCCCTCATGAAAGTAGCTCATGCAGATCTCTATGTTGCGTTGCCTTCTGTTGTTGCCCGTTTCTCTATATTGCATGTTGTGCTTGTGGTTACCATGCAGGAATTCCTTACACTATGAGCCAGTCAGGTCGGCCAGCTGTGTTCTGCCGTGATCCGGATGGGAACGCCTTGGAGTTCGCGCAATTTTAAAACCAACCCTGGCCCTGTCCCCGTTCAATCTATGTACCATCAAAACGTCAAACCGTATAGCCCAGTCCTGTAACGTTTGGTTGGTGTTTCCTGTACGCACATGTTGTAGTTCCGCTTGACAGTCAAACACACTGTAAGGAGCTTCACCATATCAACCTGTCGACGCACAATCGACCCCTCTCCATTGGCTACCGTAACTTGCTGCGTGTCTGTCTGGTCATGGTGAAAAACTAAATTGCAAGTGCAAAGACTAGAACTACGATTATGGTATGTGAAATAGTTTCTATACGTTCTAATGTCCCAAGAGCTAAAATGAATTGAGCACCTGCACAGGTATGGGTTTCTAGAATTCTCACTAATTGTTTCATAATTCACCGTTATCCTTGTTCTGAATTTACAGGTCTGCATCCGCGATCAACAACGAATTCTGGTTTGGGACCTAACCTAGGTCAAACTGTGAACCTCACCTTGCTTCGAATAGCTGTCGACGTGACTGGTTTGAAGTCTCCCTTTACAGGGAGGTTCAGTTGTGGCTCGGAGAGCTTCGTTAGGCTGGTTAAATAATACACGTGGTCCGAACCGCCTTGTTCCACGCGATGGCAAAGAAGCCTTGCCTCAAAGCTTGGTTTGTGACGAGCGACACCTATAAACCTGCTTTCCCAAGCCAAACCTCGGTCAGACTTTACATTCGAATTCGAAACGCGCATGGGCTCATCAAGGGCTGGATTTCCCTTTGCGGTTCGGTACCTTCCCTCGGCCCATGGGCTCAAAAGTTCACCAGCAACAGTTCATTGGTCACCAAGGGGCTTCACTAAATCAGGAGCCAATCGGCGATATATTGATTTCCTCCGCCACCGACAACCTGCCCGGAGACAAACAATTTGGCACCACCCAACCCAAAGTATGGAGCCTGCAAATTGGCTGAAGCTTGGGACTTGTCCCGAATCGCGAATCGCATGAAATCCCAAATTCGCCCCTCACGCCCCTCCTCACACCCCCCTAAGCACCTACTCCTCTCCTTTCCCAGCCCCCCGTCGGTTCTGCCTCTCTATCCCTCCCATTCACTTTTGATCGAACATTGCACTACTGCTTCAGTGCCACAAATCCCTGCCTCATTGCATTCTATCCTGGTCCTACGTCTGTCAGCCACGAAACCAGTCATTCTTTCCACTACGTCGAGCCTTTTTCTTACGAATCTGGTGCTGTTCTGAGTGGGAAATACTACCCAGACAGTTGCTCTCTTTCCACTGCTTCAAGCGTCCGACCAGCTATCGGACATTTGAGTTTCAAGCCCTTGACTCAGTTTGAGATTCTCGATCCTGACCGTGCAACAAGCGAGGCTCCTCGTCCTCGTGCATCACAACATATTTTCTTCTGTAGTTAAAGATGGGCGTACGGCACCACGCGGCACTACTAGTCGACGGACGGGGCGGGCGGAATGGTTTTCCTTCACCCTTTAATCTTCCCATCATCGGCGCTTCCTTTCTGCTCCTCTTGATACTCGCTTCGCAGAACTCCGCAACCGCCGGACATGTGATGCGCTCCGTAAACTTCAATAGAACAGCCGTTGCCGACCGAATTAATAACCCGGCTGATGCGTTTCTCCGGGCATTCGCAGAGAAGGAACTGTCGTTCGTTCGCGAAACGGAAACGCCGGCATCGTCACACGACGACTGGGCTAGCGAAGCAGCGCGAGAGTTCGGCGAAGGGTATTCGAGTGTTACACGTCATGAAGACGCGAAGGGAAACGAAACGGCTTTCGCGCAAGGCCACCGCAGATCGATGCGATTGGTGCGCGGTAAACGCGGCTGCAGCCTCACGACGGGGTCGTGGGTGATCGACAATAACCGACCCGCGTACGACGAGAGCACGTGCCCGCACCTCAAGGTATGGAATCAGGCTCGGAGCGAACCAAAAAGGCTCGAATTTGCACAAGACAGAACACATCACGCGGCGCACAACGCCGCAAAGCACTCCTGTCTTAAGGTTTTGAACATGGCTACCTCAAAGCCTTATCCGTTTCTATCTATCTATCTTTCTCCGTATCTCTCCATACCTCGTCTCACCCAATCTTGCAGGAGGTCGCCGCTACCACGAACTGCTTGGGCTCGCGTTATTCGCGCCCCGATCGCAACTGGATGGTGAGTGCAAGTCAACGCGGTCAATCCGAGTCAACCTGGCTGGGAAACTCCGTGCCAGCAACTCGTGGAAGACCCAGGAGTAGGAAGTTCAGTCTCCGTCTCTCTATATCACAGCATTCGCTGCTCCACTGCTGAATAGTGTCCCGTGTCAGCAGCGTCTCTCCTCCTTTCGATCCCATCCCACCTCATTCCATCCCATCCCATCCCATCCCATCCCGTCCCACCCCATCCCATCCCGTGCTGCCAGCGTTACTCGTGGAAGGCGCACGAGTGCGGCGCGCAGCCCCTTCGATTCGACGCACGCAACTTCCTCGAGAAGATGCGGAACAAGTGAGCCCCTCTCTTTTTCCTCCACAATTCGCCCCCAATCGTCATCATTGGCCCACAATCACCCTCGCTCGACCTCAACTGCCCCCAAGCGCCCCAATTCGCCCCCAGTCGTGCGCAATCCTTCAGTCTTGGTCAGACGTCTGCAGTCGCACGCAGTCGCTTGTTGTCTGCTTAGGTCGTCTCTGAGCACTGCAGAAGGCGCAGATAGTTCGTCGAGGTAATCATTAGCTTCAAGCCCTCGAACATGTCGCGTTCGTGCCGTTGCAGGAACATGCAGCGCAACTTTTGTCTCCGCGTTCGTGCCTTTGCACCCCATCCCCGTTACAGGAACATCTTGTTCGCGGGCGATTCGCTAATGTGGGAGGGTTTCTTCCCGTCGTTCCTGTGCCAAGTGCACCGCGCGTCGCCCGCGCGCAAGGTGAACTACGACAGCCGCTTCAAGCAGACCACGTGGACGGTCGACGAATACAAAGTCACGCTCATCCACGTGTGGAGCCCCTTCCTCATGGACTTCAGCTCCGACTCCAAGGTACGAACATTGGCGTATGGGCTGTAGCGCTGTGCATGCCTCGCTGTGCGAGCTCATCCACGTGTGGAGCCCCTTTCTCATGGACTTCAGTTCCGACTCTAAGGTAAGCCATTCACTGACGTTGCCATAGTGATCTATCAGTAAACTCTTTGTTCTCCACCCTCCAGCCTCTGTTTTCCTTGTTCCTTCCCTCGTCACCCCGCCTCTCACTTGTTTCTCCCTTACCCCCACCCAACCCCCATTCCCTTCCCCTGCCGCTTTCCCCCCACCCCCCACCCCCCACCACCTCCCTCTCACCCAGGTCCTTAAGAGGCTTAAGATCCAGCACCCAGCGCTGGGCGACACGGCAGTGAACCTCTTCCAACCGGACCCCAACTGGACGCTGCTGCTGCCACACGTGCACCTGGTGCTGCTGCAGTCTGCCACCCACTGGCCGAATGCAGACAAATGGCTCCGCCGCTTCTTCACCGACCGCAAGTGGCAGATGCTGCCGCGCCAGCCCGACACTTTTGAGGCGTACATGTGAGTGTGCTTGTAACGGGCGTGCTTCTAACGGGTTGGATTGTCACGGGTGGGATTGTAACGTGTGTGCTCGTAAAGGGCGTGCTCGTGATGGGCGCGCTTGTAATGGGCGTGGTTGAAACGGGTGTGCTTGTAACGGGGGTGTTAGCATGCTTGCACCCAGCCCCAGCATGCAATGCACCTGGTGCTGCTGCAGTCTGTCACCCACTGGCCGAATGCAGACAAATGGCTGCGCCGCTTCTTCACCGACTGCAAGTGGCAGCTGCTGGCGCGCCAGCCAGACACTTTTGAGGCGTACATGTGAGTGTGCTTAACAGGCATGCTTGTAGCGGGTGTGCTTCTAACGGGTGGGATGGTAACGGGTGGGCTTGTAATGGGTGGGTGTGGAACAGGTAATCACCTCTCCCTTCATGAAAGAGGTGAGGCAGACGCTGAGCCACAAACTCTCCATCCCATACACCCCTTAACCTTGGCCCACCGCTCCCCACTCCCGTACACCCCTCCCTTCACTCATCAGGGGCGCAATGAACGCGGTGAGGGAGAGGCTGAGCCGCAAGCCGTCGAGCAAGGGCGGGCGCTACGTGGCCTACTTCCTCTCTGCGCCTCCCCGCCTGGCTGGCTGCCAGAACACCGTCACTCTCAGCCCACCGGCGCAGGTATGCATGGACGTGCTAAGTGTATAAATGCATTACTATTCTATGTATGCATGCATGCCACGTGGCCTACTTCCTCTCGCTCCGCCTGGCAGGCTGCCAGAACACCGTCACTCCCAGCTCCCAAGGGCATGTATACATCCACTGTATGAATGAATGAATGCAGGTGCTGGCCCGACTGGCCTGATTGGCCTGATTGGCCGGACTTCTCGGACTGGTTCGACTGATTCTGCTACCCCGTTCCTCATTCCCTCCTACACCCAGGTGGCTTACCTCCGCTCCAAGAACGCGCAAAGCAAGATCTGGTTCCGCACGCAGAAGCAGCTTTTCGGGCGGAAGAACTCGCGCGTGCGACTCCTCGACATCACGCACCCGTCGCTCGCACGTGCCGACGCCATGATCGGGTCGCAGGGCAAGGCGAGCATGGACTGCCTGCATCCCTGCTTGCCGGGCCTGCCTGATAACTGGGTTGACTTGTTTTATGCTGCCTGGATGGCAGACAAAGGCTTCTGATTGCCGTAGCGCATATGTAGACTAGAGGAAGGTGTAGCATTGTTAGTAAGGTAGTTGCAGTAGTGTATTATTCAGGTTGCACCCAGTGATGTGTGACAGTGAGCTGAAGCAGTGATTGGGTTGCATCAGGCCACCAAAAAATATATCCTTGACTGTTGAATGCAGGATTGAATTGTACCTCAGGCAGTTACTGCTGATACCATGAATGGTCCAGCTGTGCATCACAGCCTGATGGATGCCTACATGGACAGGTTTGACAATGTCAGCTCAGCAGTGAGGTGGGAATGCTTGCTTTTAGTATAAACCACAATTAGACAAACACAGCCAGGATACAGGAAAGAATTAACTACCATGGGAGTAGGTTTGTCACATATATAAAGAATGAGAATCTACTGGACATAGGTTCCTCTCCCTTCTAAACAGCTTTGGGCAACACCCTGATTCCAACGCGCGGCGGAATCCTCCCTCTACGTCGTCGACGCTGTGCCAACGCCCTCATGTAACCCGGATTCATTTCCCTCGCAAGCTCCGGCGTCCAGTGGCTTCTATCCATCGCCGGATTTCGCACAATTGGCTCATCGGCATTCTCGGTGGACTGGACAACAACCAATCTGCTGCTTTCATCATCGTCCACCGCAGTCGCCATTACCGCGGTGTCCCCGAAGGTGCCATCGGTAGTACTCGCGACGCTGGCGACGGAAGCAGGATTTGTGTTAGACTTGCCCGGCTTGAACGTGTACGTGAGAATGCTTGTAATCGGCTTCTCCGCGGGCTTGACAATGTTGAATAGATTCATGTACGTCTGGAAATCCACCTTTTTCGGCCCGCCCTTCTTCGTCGGGCAGCTTCGAAATTGCGGAAACGCCTTCTTGATTGGCGACCCAGGGGTCAGTGCGAAATCCATTGTCTTGACGTTTTTGAACCCAGCTTTCGCCAGCGAAGTCGAGAAATACCGCAGCGTGTTCAGCTTCGGGACCGCCGGGAACGGCTTGCAGTTGTCCTGATAAAACACCCACTTGGTGGAACCGTCGGTCATCGCGGTGACGATTTCCGCGTAATTCTCCGTTGGAAGGCCCGAGCAGCCACCAGTGACAGCAGCACCGTACTGGCTCCCGAGGTTGCAGTTGATGTTGTAAAGAGCTTTCTTGGCGCAGAAATTAGTGAGGTAGGGAAAGAACTGTGACCGTAAGGGGGGATGGGATGGGAGGGAGTGAAAATGGGGGAGCGATTTGAGTCAACTGTCTGAAAAGCCAATGCTGTTTAGGCACAGAAACCAGTGAGGTAGGGGAGAACTGGGAGGGGAAAAAGGGGATTCGCAGGTGGAGGAGGAAGTGGGAAGAGGGGGGATGAAGCTAGGGAGGGACACGAGATGCGAAGCTTAACATGCAGAGAGCCCGCACTTAGTGACACGTGGGGCAGCCTTAATGCACGTGGGGCAAGTTGATGGTTAGGCAGGGAAACACTGGGAGTATGGAAGATGGGTCAGGGGAGGGAAGAATGCCTCTCTCTCACCTTCTTGATCCCCGGGGTCTGGTAGGTCTTAACGAGCTCGTCGTTCCACTTCTTGCCGTTGGGCTGGTTACAGTTGTTCACGTTGTAGTTCTGGCATGAGATGTACGCTGCTGAGAACGCCGACGCGTCAATCACCACCATGCCCTGTATGTGGTTGCTGTGGGGGGGAACAGGGGGGATTGGAGGAGGGACGGGGGGGAAGGGGGAGGGCAGCGGGGGGGAAGGGAGGAGCAAAGGAAGGGAGGTGTTAGTGGAAATCAGCGCAGGGAGAGCACGTTGTGATCTGGCATGGAATGTACGCTGCAGAGAATGCCAGAATCGCCGATCACCACCATGAATTGCACGAAGTGGGGGGGCGGGAAGTGGAGGGACAGGGGGTCCGGGAAGTGGAGAACGGGGAAGATAGAGGAAGGAAGGGAGGGAAATCGGAAGGGTGTGAGTTGGGGTAGAGGAATTCTTTACCACCTTGAACTCACTACCTCCCACCATTGACAAACGCTCAAACACCAGCATTGACCAGAGTCGACAAGCGTTGACTCACTATTTCCCGGTGTTGAGCTTGAGCCCGTCTGCCGTCCGATCGCACACGAGCCCATCCACGATCACTCCAGACGACACCCAGTCGAGGTACAAGCAGTGCTCGCCTCTCCGCACATAGTTACACCGCAGGATATTCCCAGGGTTCACCCAGTGCGTGTCCATGTAAATCCCCGCCGAGTCGCCGAGCGTCGAGAACGTGTGCACCATGTTGTTGCGCATCACGTTGCTCAGCATCGCGTCGCCCACGTTCGACTGCCCGAACCCGATCTGCAGGCTCGCGAGCGAAAACTCCGAGATGCGGTTGTTAAACACGTTCACGCCGACCGCGTTTCGATACAGCATCAGCCCGATCTCCGCGCCTTTCCCGGCCGGTCCCTGCGCGATCATGTTGTTATTCGTTATAAGCACGTTGCTGCGGATAAGGTTTGGCCCGTCGCCGGACAGCATGACGACGATCGCGCCCGGGTAATCTAACGGGTGGACGTTAACGGTCATGGAGTCGATGCGCGTGTGCGACGCGCGGGAGACTTCGATCCGGCCGTACGTTCGTCCCTGCGTGACCTGGACCGCCCATACGCGATACAGCCAGATCGCGGGGCATTTCCACTTGCCGATGAAATCGATGTAGCGTGTTTCGAGATACTGGCAGTCGGGGTTGGAAGCCAGTGGTGCGAAACCTTGCACGTTGATGCCGTTAATGAGGATGTTGCTAGCGAAGACAATTCGCATGGGAGGGTAACTGGTGGGAAGGGTCGGATGGGAGGAAGGACGGAAATACAGAGTGCAGATCGTTTAGTGGACTGTGGTTTCTTCGAAGTGTAGATGTTTGGCTTCACTACTTGGTGAGCATACCATACTTTCCAAAATGAAAGCTAAATGAAAGAATAGCTAAATGAAATGTTTGTTTTGTATCGAGTTTTGAGGCATCTCACTTCTTATCGGTGGCGGAGAGCGTGAATTTCTTGGCGCCCTTGGAGCGCAGCACCGTGCAGTTGAACTTGCCGTCCAGCACCAACGGATTCTTCACCTTCAAGTCCTTCGTCAGGAACATGCGCACTAGCTGGGATAGGGGGGAGGGGGAAAGGGGGAAGGGGGATGGGGGAAGGGGGATGGGGGAAGGGGGATGGGGGCGCAGTAGGCGACTTTAGAATTGCCTCTGGGATCTTCAGCTTCATGTCCGCCGTCAGGAACATGCGCACTAGATGTCCGTGCGGACGGTGAAAGGCAACGGAGAACGCAGCAGGAAGTGGATTGTGGAGGGGTTATGTCGGGTTAGGTGGGCAGGGGGGGGAACGGGGGCGAGAGCGCGGGGGGGAAGGGGGAGGGAGGTGGAGGGAGGTGGGGGGGGGGGGGGGGGGGTTGATAAACACGCGCCCCAATTGTTGCTGGGGAAGGGGGAGGGCGACGGGGAGGTGGGAGGGAGGGTAGTGGGGGTTGAGGGGAGGGAGGTGGGGGGAAAACAGGATAAGGGGGAATGGGGAAGGCGGCGCGGTGAGGAGCCTTACCAGAAGCAGTAGAACCTTTTCCGCAGCAGTATCGGGCTCTTTACATGTCGCTCGCTGTTTCTGAGCGCAACCATGCGCAGGTCAGAAATGGTCGTACCTGCGTGGCTGGGTATTGGGTTCGCTTGGCGAAATCGGCCTCTGCTGCGATGTTGATCTCGGGAACCGGATTGGCCACTGTGCACGGCCCCGCCGTCACTGGAAAAACGACGCGGAGGGAGGGAGAGGCAGGGGCGGGGAAGAGGGTAAGAGGCCGATAGGGAAGAGGAGGGTGAGGCCAACAGGCGAAGAGGCCAATAGGGGCGAGTGAGATGACCCTTGATTCAATTCAGACGGAATTTCTGGGATCGGATGCGGGAAGTTCGCAGTGATACGTTCGCTGGGATGTGGGATCGCTTTGATACATACATGTCCCGGAACGTGATGCGGGATGTTCGCAATGGAACTCTACAACGTTTCGCTGTCGGACTTTCTTACTTTGGACGTTCGTTTGTGTCCATGGGTGCTTTATGGCTGTACTTTAGAAGTGCGTTTGAGAACCGTACCTTGTCGCACAGAGACGGAGAGGAGAAGAGCGGAAAGGAGAAGAGCGGAAAGCGCGTAGAGTGTGAGGAACCAGGCGACGTGCGACGCCATGGCGACGCTCGGACACGGCGACGACGAGCCCCTGTCTCGCATGTCGCACGGTCTACGCCACTAAGTATCGCACGCGTCAGAACTATTCGAAAGGCGGTGGTCTGCTTGAAGACAGCAGCGCTCGAGCATCAGTAGGACTCTTCTTGGCCCGAAGAACGAAGAATGAACAAGCTCCAGGATATTGGAAATCGCGATAACTATTATCGAGACGCAGCAAGATCGGGCGGAATAATACCGGCTTTTCGTAGAACAAAGTGGGACGCGATGATGAGACAGTTTATCCGTACTAGACAAGGAGGTTGTTGGAGTGCAGACAGGCCAGGTGGATGGATGAACTGTTGATCTGGGTGCTGTTGATCTAGATCGCTGACAATGGTTTAGAGCGGTGACACGTTTTCCCAAAGGGGGTGAGTGCGGTGAGGGCTCTCATCAAGGAAGTTGTGGGAGGAGAATTCTGTTGTGGGATTGGTTTGGCTTGCTGTCGGAATGGAGGCGGGGGGGGGGGGGGGAGAGGGGGAGGCTGACATGGTTTACGAATGGCCGTTGAGACTGGCGAGAGCACCGTCGGGCCAGCGAGGTTACCGAAATTCGCTTTTCATTCGGTAGCGTCGCGATGCGCCAGAATGTCCCCAAGAGATGCTGAGCTGGAATTGGTTGAGCGGCGCACCCATTCCGGCGGCGAACATGCCCCGCGTTCTTCCTGGTTGCGACGGAGGAGGAGGAACTTTCGCGAGGGTTCGGACCGCGAGAGTTCGGGGAGCCGAACGCTCGCGGCACTGTGCAGTCACCACATTCGGGCCGCGGTGGGGGTAGGCTGGCTGGCTGGTTGGGGGATTTGCGCCAGCCTTAGCCAGCGCTTGTGCGAACACCAGTGAAAGCGGAAGGCCAGCCTGTCTGCTTTCGGTTCGGTCCTCCCAAACCAACTAACCCAACCAATCACCGTCACATCATCAGCGACCTGTCTTGAAAAGGGGTAGGCTTTATCCATCTCAGCACATGATGTGACGATGGCGAAAACTTCACAAGCGTTGTGAGTGGCCGGCATTCCCCACGTTGCGAAGACGGAGTTCGGCAGTGTTCGGACCATCGCCGACAAATCTGGTTACGACAGGACGTGTCCCCGCATGTGGAGAATCGTGCGGTGCTTCCTTGCTTCAACAACTCCACACGAGGTGATTAGGCTCACCACGGGCAGTGAAGGAGGCTTCTACACTGTAGCTGGATGAAAAATCAAAACGACTTTTAGCGGCCTCCACACCATCCTTTTTCAAACAGAATGAAACAAGCACAATTTAGACTCTTTGCTCTGGCCAAACCATAAGATACTTTCTCTGCAGGACTCTGGGGAGTCGGAAACTCTCCGGTATAAAGAACGAACACTTAGGGAAGGGACAAAGGTCGGCAAGGTAAACCTGAACTGCAGCATAGTTTGGTGGGGAGAATACAGACCAAACAAACCGAACCTAGAGATGGTTTGAAGCAAAGGGGGAACTTCCTACATTGACAGCCTCGGTAAAGACAACTTTTATCACAATTATCACAGTGGAAGTAGTTAATGGGCAAGATGATATTTTATTGAAATATTACAATCAATGAACAAATTATGGAAAAATCAGTGGGTACAACCAAAGTATGAGTGGCAAAGTTACACCTTTTGCCGCCATGATGGCCTGCGGCGGCGGACATTGTGCCGTGCATACAACCTCATCCATTTCCGCATTGTCAGCATAAAATCAGGCCGCAGCTCTCGTTCCAGTTCCGCACTCCACTTGGTTGTTGCGTATGGATTCGGTTGTAGCGTCACATCGCCAGACACTTCCCCGCCTCCATACACCGCAAGACTCGATATGCTGCCAGGCTTTGCAATAGATGCTGGCTTGGCGGCGATAGGCTTCATGGCCGGCAGAGCGAAGTTGAATATGTGGCGTAGGACACGTTCTGAGGGCCTATCTCGTTCACCGGGCAGCTCCGAATTTTCGGAAACTTTTTCAGGATCGGGGAACCGGAAATGAGGCTGTAGTCGCGGTTCGTCACGTTCTTGAACCCCGCAGCACTAAGTTTCACGGGCAGGTAGGTCAGCTTGTTTAATTTCGGCACGGCGGTGAAAGGATTGCAGTTGGAGTGGTGGATAACAAGGCGGGTGGAATTATCAGTTGTTGCTGTTACGATCTCGGCAATGTTTTCGGTTGGCAGCCCGGAGCATCTCCCCGTGGAGGAAGGCCCGGGAGTGGATGAAGTGCCTTCATTGCAGTTGATTTTATTGATGGAGGTCTTGATGCAGAAGTTGGTGAGGAAGGGGAAGAGCTGGTGGGGGGGATTTCGGAGAGTGCAGGGGTAAGGGGGACGGAGCGGGAGTGGGGGGAAGGGGTAAGAGAAAAGCAGATTTGCCTTGGCAGCAGCAGTTGGTGCTGATGATGGCAGTCTTGGAAGAGAATTTGATGAGGAAGGGGAGTGCTAGTTCGGAAGAGGGTGCTGTGGAGGAAGGAGGGAAGAGTGGAGTGGGGAGTGGGGAGGCAATGCTGGAGGCAAGGCACATGGCATAGAAACTCTTCACATGCCCTGTATCACACATGGAAAAGCAACAGCTCACCTTCTTGATGCCTGGCGTCTGGTAATAAGCCAGAAGGTCTTTGTTCCACTTGATCCCGTTGGGCTTGTCACAGTTGTTCACTCCGTAGTTCTGACACGAGATATACCCTGCTAGCGGCTCCTTGCTGTCTATAATCACCATCCCCCGCACCTCGTTACTGGAACACGCAGGGAGAAGGGTTGGACGGAAGAGGTGAGCAGCGAAGCAGTGAGCCTAGAACCAGTGAGATATCGTGACGCTATGAAGCTACCATTGGTGTAAACCGGGAGAGGAACATTCTACGCGTTGAAAGGAGTTTTCTACAACTCACTTCTTGCCGGTGTTGAGCTTCATCCCATCTGCCGTCTCCACACACACGAGCCCATCCACTACCGTTCCAGACGACACCCAGTCGAGATACAAGCAGTGCCCTCCCCGCTGCACGTAGTTGCACCGGAGGACATTCCCGGGGTTTACCCAGTGCGTGTCGAGGTAAATACCCGCACTATCCCCAAGTTGCCCGAAGCCGTGAACGATGTCGTTTTTGGTGACCAGGGAGAGCATGGCATCGCCGACCATCGACTGCCCCCATCCCAGCTGCATGCTCGCGAGGGTGAAGTTTGATACGCGGTTTCCGATAACATCGACTCCCACCGCTGCCCGATACAGCATGATTCCCACACTGCATCAGATGCGTTTTAAGGGGGGTGGATGAACAGGAGCAACAGGAGAAAATAAGAGTTGAAAGGGACGGGTTATTGGATATGACCACGTTGATTCCAGCCTCTGAAGCCCATGTTTTTCACCCAATGAAACAATCAAACGCATTATACCCAAAGAAACTCAACTCACGCTGCGCCCTGACCGACGGTGCCCTCCGTGCGGACGTTGTTGTTGGAAATAACCACGTTGCTGCTTCACACGCACACATCCCTACCCTAAAGAAACAAAAATCATCACCAAACCAAGGCGACTCATGCGGCGCCCTGCCCGACGGTGCCCTCCGTGCGGACGTTGTTGTTGGAGATAACAACATTGCTGCGAATGAGGTTGGGCCCATCCCCTGACAGCATCACCACGATGGCTCCGGGCTGGTTGGTCGCCTTTACGAGGACATCCATTGAGTCGATCCGCGAGTGGTTCGCCCGTGCGACCTCTACTCTCCCGTACACGTTGCCCTGCCATGACAAGAGGAGATGAGGATAGGAAGGTGCGGATAGGCGCGGAGGTTTGAGAGATGAGGCTGACAGAAAGATCAAGAAGGGGAGAGAGAATACAGCACAGAGTGGTAGAGTGGATGTGAGAGACAGAGACTGAGCGTACCTGCACCACTTGTACACCCCACACTCGGTACAGCCACACAGCAGGGCAGGCGTATTTCCCGATGAAGTCAATATAGCGCGTCTCGAGATAATTGCAGTCCAGCTGCCCGACTGTTGAAACGGGCATCTTAAAATTCACCCCGATCACCAGAACGTTGTTGGTGTTGACGATTTTTGTTACCATGGTGCTGGGGGGGGCGGAAAGGGGTGGGCGGGGAGGGAGTGTGGGGGAAAGAGGGTGAGCGGAAGGGAGCAAGAGAAAAGGGAGGAGGGAAAAGCGGCGAGCGAAAGGAGGAAGATAGGTCAGATGGGAGGAATATGGATGCAACACATGGGTGAGAGAGTGAGTTGGTGGAGAGAGCTGGATAGTGGTGGAGGAAGTTCGAGCAGGGTGGAGAGCGGTGGAGAACGGCGGGACATACTTCACAGAGGGCGAGATGAGGTCGAAGGCGCGGTCCTTGTCGGAGCGGAAGACAGTGCAGCTGAATTTCGCATCCATCACAAACGTGTCTGTGAGCTGTATGCTCGCCTGCAGCACCATCGTCACGTACTGGCGGGGACAGAGAAACAGGGTCGGGGCATGGGGAGGGCAGACGGGGAGAAGAAATTTGATACATGTCCGTCAGATTTGATGGGCCATCGTCACGTACTGGGAGTGCGGCGGCACGGGAATGGACGGGAATGGACGGGAATGGAGAGTGGAGGGCAAACAGGCGGTGCATCTGAGAACGAGATCATTCAAATGTCACATAATGACGTCAACACGAACGTGCGGCGCGAAAACGACACGGAAAGACGTCGAGGGGATCGAAGAAAAGAAGGTAAGGCAGAGCGCGAGGGAGGGCGCGGGGGAGCATGCTCGCGAGCGAACAGCGAGGAGGCTCGCGAGCACTTTACTTGACTTGAAAGTCCCAAGAGGCTCTCCTGATTGGCGGGTCACCCGAGAGGCTCACCTGATTGGCGGGATAGCTCTTTCGAAGGTAAAGGTCGGCCTCGCGTGTCACGTTGATCACCACTCGGGGGAGGAGGCACGGCGGCGCTGCGCAGAGCGGGAAAGCGGCAGCACGTGTGGCAGGGAATGGGGAGCAGAGGATAGGAAAAGTTAAGAGGGATGGATGACTTCAATGGAGAATGGATAAAAGGATGGATTGTGAATCGAGGAAGTTGCAAGCCGCGGGCACGAGGAGCAGCGGCAACGAATGGGAAGGGTATGTAGATGCGCGTACCAGATTCTGACAGAGAAACGAGAGAGAGAAGGGCCACAACGACGGGTAGCGCCGCCATTGGACAGAAGCGGGCCTGCGATATTCGCGAACAGCAGATTCGAAGGGGCGGTAGTCAGACTCGCGTGTATTGTAATCGTACGCGTAACAACCGGAGCAAAATGAAATTGCCTGTCGAAAAGGAAGGGGTCAAACGTTTTGGGTACTCTGCGAATGCGCCATCCCGCGGGGTGCGTGGAGATTATCACACCTAACCCTCGCCGTGCGAAAAAGGTAACGCACCGGCTCTCGGAATCTCCGCATTTGGAAAGATCTCTTCGGGCAGAGTACGACAAACTGGGCGGACGAGATAGCAGGTGTTACGTAACGTTCCGCGCGTGAAGTGCTGTACGCTTTTAACTACTGACCGCTTCAATCTTTCTGCTACTAGGGAGTCGACTTTATCAGTTCCCACTGGGAGGACGGTTCGGGGTTACCAGAAGCGGGTCTAATCGAAGACACGGAATGTTAGAGGAGCTATTAGCTGCGTCGAGCAAAGCGTTTAGGAGCCGCTCGAATTAAGCAGGGATTTGAAGTAAGGAGAAGGTACATACAATAGTAGGTGTGCGCGAAGGGAACATAGAGAGGGGGAATGTGATTATAGTAGAGAGGAAATTATGGAAGGATCTGGCAGATGGAATGAAAGGAGAAGGGTTTGTGCGAGGTGGGTGGGATCATGGGCTGGTTCAGGTTGAGTGTTGGTCTGGGACTCTGGGAGACAGGGATGGGAAAATCAGAGGGCAGACGTGCTTTGTAATTATTCCAGGCTGGGCGGCGCAGTTGGTGCCGTGCCGACGCGAGGGAGAAGCGCCCGATTTCTCTGCATCAGGTGACTGCGAAACAGCGGCGCGCTCTCGGGGGACGGTGTTTGTAGTCGCCGAAGACTTTCGCAGCCGTCGACTTTGGACATCCTGTGGTGAGAAAGTTGATGACGAATCAAGATGCTAATGTTACATCATAAGTCGTTTAGTCGCGAGCACAACCTGCCCGCATTTCTGCACCTTCATTTCCGGCGGCAGGCAGGTTGATCGAAAACAAAACAAACCTCCAGACAACCATGCACTTCGGCGTGACATGACATCACACCAACCAGCTCCCTTGCTTGTCGGCGCATGGAAGATGACGGTCGATGACGGAGAAACTTTACTGCACAACGTGTAGAAAGGACAAGAATGCCGCCCCGTGCGGAGGACCAGCCTGGCTAATGTACGGTGGTGACCTGTCCCTCTGATTTCTGGTGTGGTGAGGAGGAGTTCACGTCAGCTGTCGAGCGCAATTCGTTGCCATGTTCCTGCTACATAGTGTACGCTCTAAATATTTTCGACTTGACTCGCTGTGAGCTTTACTTTACAGTACACCCCTAGACTCACTTCATAACAACCTCTCTACTCTCTCAGCGCAGCCACCGGCTAACTTTCCCCATTGCATTTTTCATGTACGGTACCCGCAAAACTTCCATGAAAGTCACAGAACCCACAGTTTCCACATAAACTTATTACAGTGCTTTTGTGCCGTGCCTGTTGCGCTGCTGGTGGGTCACTCCAATTCCTTAGAGTGGGTCGCCATGATTCTTTTACGTAAATATAGGTTTGCATACATCGTTGGACTGGTGGGTAAGATTCAGCTACCTAAACTACTGAATTTGGATTAAAACCGTACAGAACGAAATAATGGGGTGACATGCTTGTAATCTCCGCCAAGAACCGCACATTCATGCCTTCTGCACGGGGGGTGGTTGACGGCCGGGGTGCCGTGCATTGAAGTTCATCCACTCCCACATTGTTAAATAAATCCAGGCCGCAACTCTCTTTTGAGTCGACTCAAAAGTAATTTCATGCCTTCTGCAGGGGGGATGGCCGGCGGCCAGGGTGCCGTGCATTGAACCTCATCCACTCCCGCATGGTCATCATGAATCCAGGCCGCAGCTCACGCTCCAGCTGTGGGCTCCACTTGGTTGTAGCATACGGATTCGGCTGTAGCGTCACCTTGCCAGACACCTTCCCTCCACCATACCCCACATTGCTCGATGCGCTCCCGTTCTTTCCGACAGATGCAGGTCGTGCAGCAATTGGGACCATCGATGGAACGTCACGATTGAAAAGGTTGAAATAATCTGTGTACGGAACACTTTTCGGGCCAATGTCCTGCACCGGGCAGCTCCGAAAAGTTGGGAGCTTTGCCCGAATTTGCGAGCTGTCAAGAAGGCCATAGTCTCGGTTTTCCACACTCCTGAACCCTGCAGCACTAAGTTTCACGGGCAGGTAGGTCAGCTTATTAAGTTTTGGCATGGCGGTGAAAGGATTGCAGTTGGAGTGGTGGATAACAAGGCGGGTAGAATTATTAGTGGTGGCTGTTACGATCTCGGCAATGTTTTCGGTGGGCAGCCCGGAACATCTGCCCGTGACGGTAGGCCCGGGAGTAGACGAAGTGCCTTCGTTGCAGTTGATTCCATTGATGGATGTCTTGTTACAGAAATTGGTGAGGAAGGGGAAGAGCTGGTGGGGAGGGGTTGAGGAAGGAAGAGAGGATATATGAGGGAAGAGAACAGGAAAGGAAGGAAGTAACATGAAGAATTGCTTCTGTTACTTCAATTCTGTTGATGACAGTTTTATTGCACAATCTGGTGAGAAAGAAGAAGAGCTGGCAAGGGATTAACAAAGGGGTTGTGGAGGTTGGGAGGGGAGGAGGGAAGGTTAAAGAGGGAAACGGGAAGAGTAGAAAAGGAGAAGTAATATGCAAAGGTGGATTGAATGCACTTGCTAGTGAGAAAGGCGACTGTGGGTATAGCAAGATGCATTGGAGGGGGGGGATACCGAAGGGACAGGCCAAAGTACGCAACAACAGAAAACGGGCAGAAACAAGTGCTCACAGCAGCTTACCTTCTTGATCCCTGGCGTCTGGTAGTAGGTGAGCAGGTCGTTGTTCCATCTGATCCCATTGGGCTTGTCACAGTTGTTCACTCTGTAGTTCTGGCACGAGATGTACCCCGCTAGAGGCTGCTTGCTGTCTATAACCACCATTCCGCGGATTTCGTTACTGGAACAATGCAGGAAGGGCGGAGAACAGGTGGGATGGGATGGAATGAGGTGGAAAGCGGTGGAGAGAGTGGAGCATAGGAAAAACTAGCGACAGAGTGACCTTGTACTCACTTCTTCCCTGTGTTGAGCTTCAGTCCATCAGCAGTCTCCACACACACGAGCCCATCCACGATCACTCCCGATGACACCCAGTCGAAATACAGGCAGTGCCCGCCGCCCCGCACGTAGTTGCACCGGAGGACATTTCCGGGGTTTACCCAGTGCGTGTTGAAGTAAATACCCGCACTGTCCCCGAGCTGCCCGAACCCGTGAACAAAGTCGTTCTGAGCCACGAGGGTTAGCATTGCGTCTCCCACGTTGCTCTGCCCCCATCCCATCTGGATACTGTTCAGGGTGAAGTGTGATAGGCGGTTTCCCACAATGTTCACACCCACTGCTCCTCGGAACAACATAATTCCCACGCTGCGGTCGAAACGGGAAGGAGGGGAGAGGGGGAAAGATGAAGGCTCGCGAGGGTGAAGTGCGATATACCAATAGACAAGCACACAAGAAAAAAGGGAAAAAAAAAAAAAAAAAGACAACAGGTGTAACAAAACTCACGTGGCGCCCTGCCCCATTGTGCCCTCTGTCCGAATGTTGTTGTTAGAAATAACCACCTCACTGCGGATGAGGTTGGGCCCGTCCCCCGACAGCATCACCACAATGGCTCCGGGCTGGTTGGTGGCCTTCACGAGCACATCCATTGAGTCGATCCGCGAGCGATTTGCTCTCGCCACCTCCACCCGCCCGTAGACGTTACCCTGAAGAGGAGAGGAGGAGGAGGAGGGGGAGGAGGAAGATTAACAGCTATTCCTTTTTATCTGTAGCGGTTACGGCGCAGAGAAAAGAAAATGCAGTTGATGGGCTGTATAATGGGTGTGAAAGGGAATGAACGTACCTGCACCACTTGCACACCCCATACTCGGTACAGCCAAACAGCAGGGCAGGCGTATTTGCCGATGTAGTCACGATAGCGCGTCTCAATGTAGTTACAGTCCAGCTGCCCGATTGCTGAAACGGGCATCTTGAAATTCACCCCGATCACTAGCACATTGTTGGTGTTGACGATTTTTGTTACCATGGTGCTGAGGAGTGGGGAGGGGTGGAGTGGGGAGAAGTGGGGGGGGGGGGGGAGGTGGAAGGAGTGAGGGGGAATTGGGTTGAGGCAAAGAAGTGAGTGATCTGAAGGGGAGGAGGGGAAGGGGGAAATAGGTTAGTTGGGAGAGACTAAGGGAAGAAACACATGGTATTTAGAAAGTGGGCAGGATGTTGGAGGAGAGAGTTGGACGGCGGTGGATAGTGTTGGAGAGGGGTGGAGGGCGGTGGAGAGAGGCGGGACATACTTGACGGAGGGTGATATGAGGTCAACGGCGCGGTCCTTGTTAGAGCGGAACACAGTGCAGCTGAACTTGGCGTTGGAGAGGGGTAGAAAGAGTTGAAAAGGGGCGGAGAGTGGTGGACAGCGGTGGAGAGAGGTGGGAAACGGTGGTGCTTACTTCACAGACGGCGAGACGAGGTCAAAGCCGCGGGCTGTGGCGGAGCGGAAGACAGTGCAGCTGAACTTCGCATCCATCACAAACGTGTCAGTTAGCTGTATGCTCGCCTGCAGCACCATCGTCACGTACTGGTGAAGCAGGGAGAGGAATGGCAAGGGGCGGGCAGACGGGGGTTGGATTCGACATGATAGGGGCGAAGACTCCTAGTGTAACTTGCTGTCAGCACCAACGCCTTTTCCGTGATCCACTGTGGAGCAGGGGACAGGAACGGCAAGGGGAGGGCAAGAGAAGAGGCTCACACTCTGATTGGCGGGTTACCCGAAGGGCTCACCTGATTGGCGGGGTAGTTCTTTCGAAGGTAGAGGTGGGACTCGCGCGTTACGTTAATCGTCACTTGGGGGAGGAGGCACGGCGCTGCGCGGAGCCGGGAAAATGCGGCACGTGTGTCGGGGAACACGGAGCAGCGAAGGGGAGAAAGGAATAATATTTATGTTCAGCGGGTGATGTCAGGAAGAATTGACGATTCTCAAAGACACCGCTGGAATGGGCCGGACATTGCGGCGACTCGGAAATAGGGGATTGCGATGCGGAACGTTGCGAATCCGCGGCAGCGGCCGCACGCGGCGATTCAGAGAGGGTGCGTGGAGACGCGTACCTGATTGCGACAGAGAGACGAGAGAGAGAAGCGCCACGAGGACGGGTAGCGCCGCCATTGCCCGTGGAAATACGCGGGCCTGCGATGTCGCGTGCGTAAGTATCGCGATGAAACATAACTTCCCGTCGGAACAAATAGAAAGAGACGTGAGTAGAACTTTGGGATTGCTGTATTTTCGCGAAGCGATAGGTATTTATCGCGCCTAACCCTAGCCCTGCGAGAAATGTAACGCACCGTCTCACGGGATTTCTGCATTCCAAAATATCAGCGTACAACAATGTACGCTGGAGGGATGTGCCTTGGCGAAGATTTTCGTGACGATGAGAGAAATGCAGATTCAATGAGAAAGGTCCAAGCGAGGACCGTGGTTTGGTTCGATTGAGTGGTTCAATGCTGATTCAAGGCGGACGTGCTTTGCATTTATTCCAGATCGCGGCGGCCCAGGTGGCGGCGAAACGAATGCGAAGAGCCCGTTTACCCTGCGTCAGGTGACTGTGAAACAGGCGCGGCGCTCTCTAAAGGGACGGTGATTGTCGGCGAGGTCGGCGAACACTTTCGCATCCGTCAACTTACGTCATCGTGTCCAGCGAGAAATCTTTATTCGCGAAGCTCGTTCAGACTTCCTGGTTACATTGCTGCTTTTTCTCGCCGGCTGGCAGGTTGGTCGAGAACGAAACAAAACCTGTACTTTTCCATGGCGCAACTGGGAGGTCAAATCCGTGGACGGAATGCGGGGAATGGCGCAACCGGAAGGCCAAAGAATGCGGGGACGAATGTAGGTTGTATGACCACATCCCGCCCTTGGCGGAGACCTTGTTTGTGGCGCTGCGCCACTCAGTTGTGGAACTCTCGCCTGCTCTGCTGAGGAACTCGATTCGTTGCCATCCTCCAGCTAAAATGTGTACACTTTCAGACAAGGTTCGTCAACATAAATTGATGATACCTAATTTGTTGTATACCAATCAATACCCCCTTTCTATGTCCGCTACCCATCACATTCTGCCACATTTTTTTCCGAGCTACGGTATTCCAGTGCGTCACTTCTGCAGCGACACTGACAGTTTGCATTCAGCTCCAGGGGATTGCACATGAAATTGCCCTGCTCTTGCACCATGACAGTCCACTTTCATGGTGGGTGGGTCACTCAAACTGCTGTGTAATTGTTCATACTGGAGAGTGGCAGTTCAGAGTGGGTGGCAAAGCAAAAGACTTACAGCAAGTGGGTACCAGCTCAGGTGAATCGCCCGAGGGAAATATAAACAGAAAAGTTGTACAAACAAGGAAAGAACAACGCATCAAGCAAGTGTGTGGAGTGGACATGCTGGTGATCCATCCATGCCGAAAAAACATGCTTATGCCTTCTGTAGGGGGGCTGATTGGCGGACAGGGTGCCGTGCATTGAACCTCATCCACTCCCGCATGGTCAGCATGAATCCAGGCCGCAGTTCCCGCTCCAGCTGCGCGCTCCACTTGGTAGTAGCATAAGGGTTCGGCCGTAGCGTCACATTGCGAGACGCTTGCCCTCCACCATACACATTCGATACGCTCCCGGGCTTTCCTACGGACGCAGGCCTTGCGGCGATGGGCCTCAACGACGGAGTATCCCGATTAAAAAGGGTATAGTACTGTGTGTGGGGCACACGTTTTGGGCCAATGTCCTTCACCGGGCAGCTCCGAAAAGTCTGAAGTTTTTTCCGAATCTGCGAATTGTAAAGAAGGCCATAGTCGCGGTTCTTCACGCTTCTGAAGCCTGCATCGCTGAGTTTCACGGGCAGGTAGGTCAGCTTGTTTAATTTCGGGATGGCGGCAAAAGAAGCGCAGTTGGAGTGGTGGATAACCAGCCTTGTGGAATTATTGGTGGTAGCTGTGACAATCTCAGCGATGTTTTCGGTGGGCAGCCCGGAGCATCTGCCTGTGACGGTAGGCCCGGGAGTGGCTGATGTGCCTTCGTTGCAGTTGATTCCGTTGATGGCGGTTTTGTTGCAGAAGTTGGTGAGGAAGGGGAACAGCTGGTAGGGAAGGGGTTGAAGAGGGAAGGGAGGATAAATGAGGGAAGAGAGCAGGAATGGAGGGAAGTATAATGAAGATTTGGTTCCATTGAAGTTGGTGAGGAAGGGGAAGAGCTGGTAGGGAGGGGTAATGGAGGTGGGGAGAGGGGGAGGGAGGGGTGCGGGGGTGAAGGAGGGAAGAAGAAGAAGAAGAGAAGCTGTTGCATTGGATTGGCAAGGAATTGGGAAAGCGGACCGAGAGAGGGGGTGGGCTGGAAGGAGGGAAGAGGGAAATCGGGAGACGATGCTTGTTGCAAGGCACAAAAAATAGGAACGACCAGAGAAGAGTGGCTCACCTTCTTGATCCCTGGCGTCTGGTAGTAGGTGAGCAGGTCGTTGTTCCACCTGATTCGTTTTTAGGAATCCCGTTAAACCTCTGAGGGAGTCACAACAGCTCACCTTTTTTATCCCTGGCGTCTGGTAGTAGGTGAGCAGGTCGTTGTTCCATCTGATCCCGTTGGGCTTGTCACAGTTGTTCACTCCGTAGTTCTGGCACGAGATGTACCCTGCTAGAGGCTGCTTGCTGTCTATAATCACCATCCCCCGCACCTCGTTACTGGAACAATGCAGGAGGGGTGGAGAACAGGGGTGGAGAACAGGGGTGGAATGGATGGAATGAGATGGAATGGGATGGAATGAGGTGGAATGGGATGGAATGGATGGAATGAGGTGGAGAGAGTGGAGCGTTGTAAGAGCAAGAGACAGAGTGCCCTTGCACTCACTTCTCTCCCGTGTTGATCTTTTGAGGCGCCTCAAAAGCAGTCCATCCGCAGTCTTCTCACACACATGCCCATCCACAATCACTACAAGAGGAGTATTCTGGAGAATTCTACAAGTTGAAGGGCGGGCCCTTGTACTCACTTCTTCCCAGTGTTGAGCTTCAGCCCATCTGCAGTTTGCACAGCCCATCCACGATCACTCCCAATGACACCCAGTCGAAATACAGGCAGTGCCCACCCCCTTGAACGTAGTTGCACCGGAGGATATTTCCAGGGTTCACCCAGTGCGTGCCGAGGTAAATACCCGAACTATCCCCCAGCTGCCCGAAGCCATGAATGATGTCGTTGTGGGCAACGAGGGTCAGCATTGCATCGCCCACGTTCGTCTGCCCCCATCCCAGTTGCAGGCTTGCAAGGGTGAAGTGTGATAGACGGTTGCCCACCACGTTCACTCCCACTGCCCCTCGGTACAGCATGATGCCCACACTGCGATCGAAACGGGAAGCAGGGGAGAGGGGGAGATGAAGGCTTGCGAGGGTGAAGTGTGACAGGCGGTTTCCCACCATCTTCACTCCCACTGCTCTTCGGTACAGCATTTTCCCACACTGCAGTGGACAGGGTTGGTGGTAGGGAAGACAGCGGGCAGCAGGGAGGACAGGGGGCAGCAGGGATCGAGAGAAGGGAGGCGAAAAGATGAGTTAAAAAAAACATCTGTAAGCGAAGAAAAGACGAGATGACATTGTTGCTGGCTGTAAGCCTCACCTACAAAATCCGACAAGATGACTCAGAAGCGAGAATTCTCAAGAGTGATTGCACGCATTGCTGCACCTAGAAGCTTAAAGACAGTGGCTTATACCAATAGACACGCACACACACAAAACAAAAATACAAAAAAGGTGTATCAAAAGCGACTCACGTGGCGCCCTGGCCCATGGCACCCTCTGTCCGAACGTTATTGTTAGAAATAACCACCTCGCTGCGGATGAGGTTGGGTCCGTCCCCCGACAGCATCACCACAATGGCTCCGGGCTGATTCGTTGCCTTCACGAGGACGTCCATTGAGTCGATCCGCGAGCGATTTGCTCTCGCTACCTCCACCCGCCCGTACACGTTGCCCTGAAGAGGAGAGGAGAGGAGAGGAGAGGAGAGGAGAGGAGGAGGAGGAGGAGGAGGAGGAGGAGGAGGAGGAGGAGGAGGAGGAGGAGGGACATTAGCAGCTACTCCTTTTTGGCTTCAGCTGTTACAGTACAAAGCAGAGCAGATGCAATGAAGGGTGGTAGGATGGGTGTGAGAGGGACTGAGCGCACCTGCACCACTTGTACACCCCACACTCGGTACAGCCACACAGCAGGGCAGACGTATTTGCCAATGAAGTCAAGATAGCGCGTCTCAATATAGTTGCAGTCCCGCTGCCCGACAGTCGAAACGGGCATCTTGAAATTCACCCCGATGACTAGCACGTTGTTGGTGTTGACAATCTTTGTTACCATGGTGCTGTGGGGGGGGGGGGAAGGGGTGGGCGGGGAGGGAGTGAGGTGGGAATGGGTCTGCTTTTGAGTCGACTCAAAAGCAGCTCACCCCGATGACCAGCACGTTGTTAGTGTTGACAAACTTTGTTACCATGGTGCTGTGGGGGGGTGGAGAGGCCGAGTGAGTGGGATCGAGGGAATGGGATCGAGGGAATGGGATCGAGGGAATGGGATCGAGGGAATGGGATCAAGGGAGTGGGATCGAGGGAATGGGATCGAGGGAATGGGGTCGAGGGAATGGGGTCGAGGGAATGGGATCGAGGGAATGGGGAACTCTTTCAGACGGGACGAACGAAGGGAAGCAAACACGTCACGTGGGTATGAGAGAGCGGAGTGGGTGTTGGAGAAGTGCGTTGGAGAGCGGTGGAAAGAATTGGAGATGGGTGAAGAGCGGTGGAGAGAGGCGGGCCATACTTGACAGAAGGCGAGATGAGGTCATAGCCGCGGTCCTTATCGGAGCGGAAGACAGTGCAGCTGAACTTGGCATCCATCACAAACGTGTCCGTCAGTTGTATGCTCGCCTGCAGCACCATCGTCACGTACTGTAGAGGAGGAGAGGGTAAACAGGAGAAGGGCACACGGGTGGTGGATATGAAACAGGGGAGGCCACTCGAGCGTCAGTGAGCGCACACCACGAACGTGCCCGTCAGCCTGTCCGCGGTAATTATCGGAGCGGAAGACAGTGCAGCTGAATTTAGCGTCCATCACGTGTTTGAATTGAAGTAGTGTTTTGAGACGTCTCAGAAGACAGTGCAGCTGCACTTGGCATCCATCACAAGCGTGTCTGTCAGCTGTATGCTCGCCTGCAGCACCATCGTCACATACTGGCGGGGACAGGAAAAGGGGAACCAGAGGGGAGCGGTTCAAGAAGGTTCCGTGCTGTATGCTTGCCCTAGTCATCCCGTGCTGGTGGATGCGAAGATATGGAAGACGAGAGAAAGACGCAGAAATGCGCGGCGGAGGAAAGGCGCTGAGAGGCGTCGACGAAATTCGACCTAAAGGATTTGGAAGGGGGAAGCGAGGAGAAGGGTGCGAATGGGGTGAAGAGGTGTTCGTGCCGGTGGAGCGAGGAGGCTCGCGAGCGGCTCACCTGTTTGTGGGGTCACCGGGGAGGCTCACCTGATTGGCGGGGTAGTTCTTTCGAAGGTAGAGGTGGGACTCGCGCGTCACGTTGATTGTCACTTGGGGGAGGAGGCACGGCGCTGCGCGGAGCGGGAAAAGCGGCGGCACGTGCGGCGGGGAACACGTAGCAGCGAGGAGAAGAAGGATGCTTTTACTCGGAAATAGGAGAATGCAATGGGGAAGGTTGCGAATCTGTGAACACTCGTGGCAACGAGCGTACGACGCCGATTTCGGCGAGGGTGCGTGGAGACGCGTACCTGATTGCCACAGAGGGACGAGAGAGAGAAGCGCCACGAGGACGGCCAGCGCCGCCATTGCCCGTGCAAATAGGGCCTGCGATGTGGCGTGCGTAAGTATCGCGATGAAACATAACGTTCCGTCGGAACTAACAGAAAGAATCGTTAACAGTACATCGCGATTGCTCTTTTTTTCGCGAAGAGAGGTGATTATCACCCTCTAACCCTAGCCATGCGATAAATGTAACGCACCGTCTCACGGGATTTCTGCATTTCGAAAGGTCAGATTCGACACTGAATGGTAGAATGTGGGAGGGGAAGATGTTTAGGGGATGTGTTTGTGCCAAGAAATCTTGTTGGTTGATGACGAGTTGAATGCAGATGGAACGAGAGAGGGGCGTGGACTGGCTTGATTGGAGTGTGTTCAATATCGGCGGTGTTCGCCAGCACCTTTGAGATTGGAAGAAAATGGAAGGCATCGGACTGGCAACTGCATCAGGAAGCGGGGCCGGAACCCTCCGAAAAGGTTTGGGCGAAATGCCACCCGCGAACTTTCCAGCCCCGACATGGGAAACTTCAGAACCGCATATGGAACCCCACACCCCACCTTCCCCCCAAAGGGTTTACATCGCCAACCCACGGCAGTCCACGTGAAATGGTGGACTGCCACGGGATGGCATGAGACGGGACGTTTGCCTGGGGAGGAAGTCACATCCCCATTTCCGAATGCCATGTTTCCATCCGAAAACTGAGAAAAATGAGGGCGTTCGCCAGGCACCAAAGATTGCTTTAGGGTCGGACGACATCCTAGCTTCGGCACGAATTTTACGGGCTGACCAGGCTGACGGAGCTTAACGAACCCTAACTGACGGGATCAGGAAGGCGTGACTGACCTTCCTGATCCCGTCGTTTTCGTTTTCAAAAGTGCTGGCGAACACCGCCGTCAAGCCGGACGTGCTTTGTGTTTATTCATTCTGTGGCGGCCCAGGTGGCGGGCAAGTGAGGGGGTTTAGCCCGGTTGCCCTGCGTCAGGTGACTCTGAAACAGCGCGGCGCTCTCTCAGGGGACGGTGTTTGTCGGCGAGGTCGGCGAAGACTTTCGCATCCGTCAGCTTAGGTAACATTCTGGTGAAGGTACGGGATATTATCACTCACACTAACGTTCGCGAATCTCGTTCAATCTTCATGGTTACAATGCTGTAATTGGCGGCTGGCAGGTTGATCCGTCACTTGGGCAAGACACACCCTACAGTACCACCCTTCGCAGAGAACTTGGCTGGCGGGTTCGCTGTTTTGCTGAGATGTGGTGTGGTACTCTCGTTTGCACTTTTCACGAACTAATTTGTTGCTACAATGTGTACACTTCCAGAAATCGTCAACATAACCTTAGACATCCCTGCATTCCTTCATACTACCATAGCCGCTTTATAAATGTCCACTATTTCAACTCCAGCCACTGCCTCACCTTTCCCAGCACAACTTCCACTATTTTCGCGCTACTCCCGAGTGCCAGAATCATCACTCACGTTTGCGCTGAGAGTGGATAGCATTCGCCTATGAAATTGTCTTGCTTTTTCATCATGTGTGTGTCATGCTCATGGTGGGTGGGTTACTCAGAGCAGGAGTTTGATTTGAGTGACCCGCGAAAGTGGCAAAGCTAAAAGCCTCCTGATTGATGCACTCTGACATTACAAATGAGTAATCTACATCACGTGCACGAGTCGCACCACGTGCATTCTCAAACTCAAGATGACACCTGACCATCGCCCCTATCTGAAACCCCGTCTCATATGCTTATTTTTCCCTAGACGACATGGCAAGTCATCGCGCCAGCAAGCAAAATCATCTCGAAAAATGAGCCGTCGAGAGCGTGTCACCGCTCCAACCTACCGCACATCCGTCTCACGGGAAATTGACCGCCGTGCGATAAATCTTATTGCTAACCCAATTCGCGGGGACAGCGTCCCACGCTTCGAGCGGGAGAGGGCCTTGGGCGGGCCAGAGGCGGAAGGAGAGCGACATGCCGACCACGGGCAGGCCGGGCAGGTCCCACACGGCGCCGTAGCTCTTGCGCATCGTCATCCACGGGCCGCGCGCGATCGAGATGTCGACGCGCTTCACGGCGCCAGATCCGGCCACGTTGAGAGGCATGGCTGCAGGTGAAGAGGGAGAAGGCACGGTAACGATAATGCCGGAGTTATGCTCATGGGTTTTGATGAGAGACGAACGCAATGGATGGTGATTCACTCGGGATGCAATGGGTATGTAGAAGGAAAAGCAATCATGCCTTCGGGAAATCGCATTGCTGAGTGTGACACACTCCCCACAAGGGCCACAAAAAGGTGACGCGACATCCGATACAAGCACACCATACGCCCTCACCTGTGACGTAGTACTCCTTCCCGGTGATGTTGAACGCGACGCCACCGACGCGCCGGCACTTGACGCGCTGAATCTCCACGGGAACCACCCCAGCCGAGGGATCCTTCGACATCTGATTCCACACAGGATTGGGCAGCGTGATGCTCCGCTTATTTCTCGCGCAGTACCCGCCGGGCGCATTCGGCGGGCAGATATTCGTGACAGTAACGGGCACTGTCATGATCCCCGGTTTGCACGACGGGTGGCCGGTGCACCGCATCTGGAAACACGCGCCGCAGTTGCTGCCGTTAGCGTAGCCTACAGTGGACATCGAGGCGGTGTTGTGGTGCAACATGGGGTACCCGCACGCGCCGTTGGGGCGGTTCTGCAGTGCGTAGTAGGACGCGACGAAGCCTTTGATCCATTGCGCGGAGATCGCGGCGGTGAAGGAGGAGAGGCAGAGCGCGAGAAGCAACACGCGGGGGGCTATGTGGGGACGCATGGTTGCAGACTGTTCTGTTCAATAGAACCCTTCAGAAATGTTCTAAACAATCTGAACTGAAAACCTGAGCCAGAGCAACCTGACGACTAGTGATTGGGGTTCAGAAACAAATACGGAAACCACCAGAACGCGGGCTGTATTACCTTGAATTTGTGCGCCGAGATACTATCGAGGTTGACTAGGGGGATGGGAAGAGAGATGATAAGAGGTGGATTCGAGCGACGATGTGGATGCGTGGAGAGAAGAGAGGTGAGAGGGGAGGAGGGTAGGCGGGGAGGGGAGTCGAGGCGAGGCCATAGTGCACGGAAACCCACAGTGGAGCGGTCATGCGCAATTCCCGATTGAGTCACGGATCGCCATGTTTGCGCGTGACACTTCCCGAAGCGCTGAAGATTTTGAATGCGATGCGCGCCTCTATGGTCTGCCTGTGACAGAAACCACTGACCCTCTATATTGTCGTAAGCGATTTCATTCAAAAAATGACAGGAAATATGTTATGAGTTGTAAAAGAGAGTGCGCATGTAAACGAATAACGAGACTGTGATTGACTGATCTGAGAATACAATGAAGGCATAGACTAATGTAGGGGCTAGCCTAGCTAGGAGGGAACCTCGGACGAGCGAGGTTGGGTGCAGGTTTGGCGATTGGGAAATGCCGAAGGCGACGCGAGGAGCCTCGGCAGCGTTGAAATCGGCCGAACGTGCGAAGTCCGAAAATCGGGCTGTACGCGAAGCAGTCAACCCCGATAAGGAATTCGGGAAAATTCCTTACACTACCCCCCCCCCCCCCCCCCCCCCCCCCCCTTAAGAAAGGCGGCCAATGTCCGAAACACGCCTGCGCGCCAAGTAATCACCAATAAGTGACGAGGCGTCCAACGAGGCGGAGTGCACCCACGTGTCGTCTTCACTGGTGCGATCAGTCCAACGGACTAGGAAATCCACGTGGCGACCAGCTGCGTCAAGGCGAACCCGATGTGCCAAAATCTTTGACGGGTCAAGACTCGGCTCCGGGACAGGTCGTGCAGTTGGGGCGGCTTGTTGCCTCGCGATGTCGGTTGTGGCTGGCACGAATTTGCGAAGCAGGCTGACGTGGAAGGCGTCATGAATGCGCCAGTCGTCGGGTAGCAGCAGCTTCGCGGTGACAGGTGTCACCATCTTGATAATCTTGAATGGCCCACAAAATCGTGGCCGTAGTTTCGACGGGCCGGGCAGGTGCAGGTTCTTCGTGTCAAGTAGCACTAGTTGCCCAGTGGTCAAGACGAGTTCCCGGCGTAGAAGGTCGGTGTATTTTCGGGAAGTGATATTCGCCTTGCGAATTGCGTCTGCGGCTTTTTCACGGACTTCCTGAAGCTCCGTCACAAAAGTTTGTGACCTCGGGACCGGGTTGTCGAGAGTAGTTGCCGTAGGCACCGTCGGGTCCATCCCGTAATTCAGGAAGAATGGGGAGTGATTAGTCGTACTGGACGGGGCGTTGTTGAAGGCGAACTCCAACATGGCGAGTGATTCTTCCCAGCGGGCAGGGTCGGGGCAGTTTGTCCTGATCAGCTGCTCCATGGTCTGATTGGTCCGCTCGGTCTGGCCGTCCGTCTGTGGATGATATGCCGATGAGAACTGTAGTTTTGTGCCGTACTGCGCCCACGTCTCCTTCCAGAATTTCGATATAAACTTCGGGTCGCGGTCGCTGATGATCGCTGAAGGGATGCCGTGCAGTCGCACGACCGTTGAGATGAAGAGGCGCGCAGTTCCTTCGGCTGTGATTGTTATTCGGCATGGGGCAAAGTGCGCCATCTTCGTGAAGCGATCGACGACGACGAGTACAGCGTCGTTGCCGGACGGCCCAGCTGGCATCCCCGTGACAAAATCAATTGTCACTTGCTGCCACGGTCGTTCGGGTGGCTCGACGGGTTGCAGCAGCCCAGCTGGTCGTTGACGTGTCGATTTCATGGCTTGGCACACCCTGCATGAGGACACATATCGCTGCACGTCGTTAGAGGAATCAAGCCAGTAATATTGACGGTGCAGTAATTTCTGGGTTTTGTCAACCCCGAAGTGTCCAGAGAAGTTCGAATCGTGGACCTCCTGGATAAGGAGTTCACGAAGCAGCCTGTAAGCGGGAACCCAAATCCGGTCGGTTCCGGCCTTTAGGTAATAATCCCCTTTCTGCGTCGTGGCCTGCTGATGATTTCCAGTCGCTAAGAATGGGTCCGTAGTGTAGCCGTGGGTGAATAGTCCGGTAAGTAATGGGTTCGAGTGGGTGATGAGTACTGCAGCGGATTGTACTGTCGGTCGGGTCCGGGCGTCGGCGATGTTATTCGCCCCCTTTTTGTACGTGATGCGGTAGGTGAAGTGGCTCTCCATGTAGTCCAGCCACCGAATTTGTCGCGGGTTGAGGTTGGGCTGGGCTCGCAGGTACTGTAGGGACTTGTGGTCCGTGCGAACAGTGACGTCGGCGCCCACCAGGTAGCAGCGCCACAGTTTGAACGCGTGTATTATGGCGAGCATCTCCTTGTCGTGGATCGGGTAGTTGCGTTCGGCTGCCTGCAGCTTGCGTGATTCGTAGGCTATCGGCTGCAGCCCGTTCCCGAAACCTTGGAGTAGCACAACTCCGATGGCGAAATCAGAGGCGTCGGTAACGACTTCGAACGGCTTCGATGGGTCGGCGATGAGCAGCAAAGGAGGGGAAACTAGAAAATTATTGAGTTCCTGGAAAGCCGCTTCTGCCTCCTCCCCCCACACAAAATTTCTGTCCTTGTGCAGTAGGTCAGTCAGCGGGCCGGTTATCCCCGCCATATTCGGGATAAACCGCCTGACGTAATTCACGAACCCCAGAAAACTCTGCAGTTCCGTGACGTTCGTCGGGGACTTCCACTCCTGTATGGTCTTGATTTTCGCCGGGTCGATTTTAATGCCTTCGCGTGAAATGACGTGCCCCAAAAACTCCAACTCCTGCTTAAAAAACTCGCACTTAGAGCCCTTGGTGATGAGTCGGTTCTCCTGCAGCCGCTTAAACACTGCATCCAGGGCGCGGAGGTGCTGCTCCCTTGTCTTGCTAAAAATCAGGATATCGTCCAAGTAGACGATGACACATCGGTCTAGAAGATCCCGAAAAACCCTGTTCATGGTGAGTTGAAATGTCGAAGGCGCGTTCGTGAGGCCGAACGACATCACTGTAAATTCGTAACTCCCGTAGCGTGTGCGAAACGCAGTCTTGTGACAATCGTCGGCGAAGACTCGAATCTGGTGGTAACCGCCACGTAAGTCAATCTTCGAGAAATAGCGAGCGCCGCGAAGTTGGTCGAGGAGGTCGTCGGTGCGTGGGATTGGATAGCGAGACTTGATGGTGACCCGGTTCAGTGCGCGATAGTCGATGCACATGCGAAGCCCGCCGTCTTTCTTCGGAGTGAACAGGATCGGTGTTGCGAAGGGAGATGTGCTGGCCCGAATGAACCCTTTCTCCAACAGTGCGTCAATTTGACTTCGCATCTCCTCGAGTTCCGGCTGGGTCAACCGCCATTGTGTCCGAACAGTCGGCTGCGCGCCAGGTTCCAGCTGGATTTTGTGGTCCTCAGGTCTCTCGGGTGGCAGTCCAGGTGGCAGATCGTCGGGGAAAATGTCGGGGTACCTCCGAATCAGCTCCGCTAAATCCGGCGGTACAGCTGCACACAGCTTCTCGATGTCCTTTCCGTCGGTGTCAACCGCCAACTCGCGTAAGCAGACAGCGAACAGCTGCGCGCCCCTGTTGAAGTGGCGAGCTATAGTGACAGCTTTGACGCACGGGGCTTGGATGTAGTCAGGTGTCCATGCAGGCAGTTTAATTAGCCCCTCGTGCTTGTTGATGCTGCACGATCCCGTTGTCCAGTCGATGACGGGGTTGTGCCGTCGCAGCCAATCACGTCCCAGCAGCACGTCGCAGCCGTCGAGTGTTGTCGCGAGGAACTTCATGCTGAAGCCGAAATCGTCGCCGCATTCGATCCTGACCGTCCGTGTTTCTTCCGTTATCACCAGAGGCGTCCCATCCACGAGGCGGGCGTCAATTTCGGGCAGACACCTGTCAAGTTGCAGCTTGCATTTTTTTTGCGCTCGCCAAGTTGAAGAGGCTATGGCTGGCCCCTCCGTCGACGAACATTTTCAAGTCATTTTTTAACACCTTGCCAGCGACCAGCACAGGGTGATCCACATGTGTATCCCCGTTATTCGGCCGAGTGCGATCGATTGCATGAATCGGAGCCACGACTCGGTGGGGATGGTGGGGTTCGGGCGACGGAGCACAGTCAGTAAAGGGCCCGCTAATTACTGACTCTTCCCATTTCCCTGCTCCTTCCTGTCGTTCCCCGTCAGCGGCGTAATCTCGTGGCAGTCTTTCATGTAGTGACCCGTATTCCCACACTGGTAACACGGTCCCTTAGGAGGGCGGTCGGGTGTATGGACGGCGTTGATCGTGGCCCGATGGGTCTGGCCACGAAAGCGGTTTCCATCCCTGGAAGCTGCTCTCACGTACTGCATCAGCGCGTCCGTAGATTCCGCCAGCCGTACTGCTTCAAGAAATGATGTCGGGCGGCCCCTGCGAACCTCGTATTGAATCTCGTACTTGAGGCCGCTGATGTATTTATCTAACCGCTCTGCTTCCGACATGTCATCAACTTGGTCGGCTAGGCCCATGAACGACGATGTGTAGTCTTGGACAGATGCCATCTGCGACCATGCACGCAGCTTCATGCGAGCTTGCTCCGAGGCGGATACGTGCTCGAACCGATCTCGTAAGGCTGTGCCCCACTCCTTCCACGTGCGTATCTTGGTCACTCCGAAGATCGGTTCTGCCACTTGATTAGTCACTGTTGAGGTCCCGTCTGCCGCATGCGTCACACCTGTCGGCGTCCCCGTTTCCAAGGTTCGGCGCCACCACTCAAGCGCTGCACCTCGAAGAAGCGAAACCGCGTAATTAATACGCGTGGCGTCGTCATTAACCCCTGCTGCAGTGAAGGAGACCTCGACCCCGAACAACCACCCCTTTACTGTAACCGTCTTGTCCGTAGGATTAAACGGGGGCGGGTTGACGGTTTTTATCTTGATCGTCGTTACTGCAACTGGTGCTGCTGCCGCTCGCTGCCTATCTTCCTCTTCGAAGTCACGTGTGAGCGCGTCCAAGGGATTGCTCACCGCCTGACTGTTGCCTTCGCCTTCGTCCTCGGGCGACACCTGACGCGCTTCACCTCGCGTCTGGCGCAGTTCGGCGTTTTCTTCACGCAGTGTTGTCACTTCCGCCATTAACGATTTCATGCCCTCCTGCATCTCTGCCACTTGCGCCATCAACCTGTTAACCGCCTCCTGATCCATGTGCCTAGCGCTACGTCTGGTGGGCAATCGGGTATCCGTGGCCTTCAGGCAAGTGAAAACACGAACTATCGGAGTCGGGCAGGATTGAATTAACAATCCCTACAGCCAACCGTCGTGTAGTCACTAAACCAGCCACACCCGTGCCACCAAACTACCCTCGGAAAAGCGGGGTGAACTAGGAAAGTAGCTCTGATACCAGGTGTTATGAGTTGTAAAAGAGAGTGCGCAGGTAAACGAATAACGAGACTGTGATTAACTGATATGAGAATACAATGAAGGCATAGACTAATGTAGGGGCTAGCCTAGCTAGGAGGGAACCTCGGACGAGCGAGGTTGGGTGCAGGTTTGGCGATTGGGAAATGCCGAAGGCGACGCGAGGAGCCTCGGCAGCGTTGAAATCGGCCGAACGTGCGAAGTCCGAAAATCGGGCTGTACGCGAAGCAATCAACCCCGATAAGGAATTCGGGAAAATTCCTTACAAAATATTTCGAAGACAACTTTATCAGGAAAAATCATGGACATTTTTTTTGCTTGTCTGATGCACTATTGCCTAGGTGCATTATGTTAGTACAATAACAATTTAATGTCCAGCTATCATCGTCCAGATGTTGCAGTCTTGCCACCTCCTTCCCCACCCAGATGCTCCACTTGAAAATGACACCCGCCTACGGGACTAGCGGTCGGCGGTCTTGTCTGGAGCGCCAGCAGCGTCCCATTCCCAAGCATCGAAGCAAACATGGCAAACGTGCTGACATACTTATTGAAGCTCACAAGCACACGGGCTCGACTCAGCAGGAAGAACTCAGCCATGGTTGGGGATGGTTGCTGTAGAAAATGCTCCTCTAACACCCCCTTCTGTCTCTCAACGCCCGCCGAATCTTCTGCCCCTCCTTCCCCTTCCGATCTACCTTCCACGCCGCCTGCTCCTCCTGCTCCTCCCCCTGCTGCAGCACTGGCAGCGGCGGCGGCGGCGGCGGCGGCGGCGGCGGCAGCAGCAGCAGCGCCGCTTTTTGATGTGTGAGTAACGGCACCCGTGGAGAAAAAGACGTCCCCAGCCACCGGCCCGATCTTATCCACAAACTGCGGCCGCAGGTTCTCATTGTCCGTTGCCAAAAAGACAGAAAGCGGCTTCAGAGAAGACAGAGCACCGCTATCAATCCCCTCCAACCCATCCCCAAGATCCCCAGTCCTTCGTGCTCTTTTCGACCCTCGCCCACCCTCTTCCTTCACTAAGCCCTGACCAGCCCGACCAGCCAAGGACTGCAGGAGAGAAAGCAACGGATCAGGGTTGTTCTTGGAGGGGTTGGGAAGCTTGATGCCGGACTTGCGGGTGCGGAGGAAGAGGAGGAGGCGGGAGATGCAGGCCCACTTGTCGGGTGTGAGAAACTGCTGCATGTGTGCCGCCTCCGCTGCCCTCAGCTGCTGCTGCTCCTGCTCACACTCCCTGTCCGCCTCGTGGCATGAGGGGTGCTCCACCAAACTGATAAAGGGGAGATGAGCGGGGGGGGGGGGGGGGGGGGCAAGGAAGGAGGGCAGGCTGGTTAGGGAGACGAGGGAAGCAGGGGAGGAGGGGAGGAGGGAAGTTGGGGAATGGGAAAAAGAGGGGAGGAGGGGAAGAGGAGGAGGCGGGAGATGCAGGCCCATCTGTCGGGTGTGAGAAACTGCTGCATGTGTGCCGCCTCCGCTGCCCTCAGCTGCTGCTGCTCGTGCTCACACTCCCTGTCCGCCTCGTGGCATGAGGGGTGCTCCACCAAACTGATGCGGGATGGAGGAGATGGGGTGCACGGGGGGAAGGGAAGGAGGGCAAGATGATTAGAAGAGAGGGAGGGTTAGGAGGGGAGGAGGGGAGGAGGGGAGGAGGGGAGGAGGGAAGGTTGGGGAAGGAAGGGGGGAGGGGATGAAAGGAGGAAGGGAAGAGGGGAGCAGGTAAGAAGCATGAGGACCTGCTGCATGTGTCCCGCCTCCGCTGCTCTCAGCTGCTGCTGCTCGTGCTGGCAGTCCCTGTCCGCCTCGTGACAGGAGGGGTGCTCCACCAAACTGGTGGGGAAGAGGGTGGGGGCATGAGGGAAAGATGAGGAAGGAGGGCGGGCGGGGCGTTTCACCAAGCTGATCCTGATGGGAGGGGGAGACGGGGCAGGAGGGGTGAAGAGAAAGATGCGGAAGGAGGGCCTTGTGGAAAGATGGGTGCTGCACCAAGGTGGGAAAGATACGAAGGGAAGGAAGAGTGGAGGGATGGAGGGTTTGATGGTAAGTTGGGAGACCAAGCACTGGTGAACGACAGTGAAGGGTGCAACGAGTTGCGCGCCACGCCACGTGCGGTGGAGGGAGAAGGAGAGAGGGAGAGGGGGAGAGATTGGGAGAGGGAAAGGAAGAGGGAGAGAGACAGGGAGAGGGAAAGGGAGCAGGAGAGAGGGGGGAGGAACGGAGAACAAAAAGACCCCTTCAACCGGCAGTGCATCACTTAACACACTCACTTAGTGGCTGTGCGTGCCGGGGCCCTAATAAAAGACTCACTTAGTGGCTGTGCGTGCCGTGTTAGAATATAGCATAATGTATGTTTATATTTGTGCATGTGTTACACCCTAAAGTGGGTGTACACTTTGGGTCAAGGCGACCCAACCAATTTTGGTTGGGCGCCCCCAAACCCAACTCGACCGCAATTGACGGGGGGGGGCCAATAATGGTCCCCTTCCAACGATTGTTGGTTACCCCAGCAATTGTTGGTCGACCCAATCTGATTGGTCCACCAATAAATGCTGAGGGTACCCCACTTCGTTCCCAAAACTTCTCATCTCCTATATGTACCGACACTCTTTCTAATCAAGACAACACTTGAGATTCTTTCATGGTATTCAGAGCCAATTGGCAAACGCCCCTCTCGACCTCTTTCTCTCAAGTTTTTTTTTTTCTCCTCCCCGCTCGTCAGGACCCTTCCGTCCTGCCCATGCAACTTGTTGCGTGGGTTTGACTTGGTTGAAGTTCAATCTTCCGTAAAGTACAACCAGTCACCACCTCCCTCCAGCTCCTACTCTATCTCTCGTAAGGCGAATTTCTCGCCTCAGCTCCTGCCGCCGCATTTACGTTCTCAGCTGCCGGCGTCTCAATCGCCGCGACCTATCCGCCGTCGCCACTACTCTCGCACCGCTTTTCTTCCTTGCGGGGCATTTCGCCGCCGCCGCCGCTGCTTCACTCGCCGCGGGGCATTTCGCCGCCGCCGCCACTGTTCCCACTCGCCGCGGGGCATTTCGCCGCCGCCGCCACTGCTCCCACTCGCCGCGGGGCATTTCGCCGCCGCCGCCACTGCTCCCACTCGCCGCGGGGCATTTCGCCTCCGCCGCCACTACTCCACTCGCCGCGGGGCATTTCGCCGCCGCCGCCACTGCTCCCACTCGCCGCGGGGCATTTCGCCGCCGCCGCCTCTGCTCCCACTCGCCGCGGGGCATTTCTCCGCCGCCGCCACTGCTCCCACTCGCCGCGGGGCATTTCGCCTCCGCCGCCACTGCTCCCACTCGCCGCGGGGCATTTCGCCTCCGCCGCCACTACTCCACTCGCCGCGGGGCATTTCGCCGCCGCCGCCACTGCTCCCACTCGCCGCGGGGCATTTCGCCGCCGCCGCCACTGCTCCCACTCGCCGCGGGGCATTTCGCCTCCGCCGCCTCTACTCACTCGCTGCGGGCAATTTGCCGCCGCCACTGCCTCTCCTCGCTGCAAGACACTTCGCCGCGGCTGCTCCTACTCTCCCTCGCCGCCAGGCACTTAGCTACTGCCTCATCTCTTCCTCCCCGCCGCTCCCTCGACCCTTCCCCCCCCCCCCATTGCTTCCGCCCACCGTTTCCTCTCCCGCTGCCTCTCTCATACTATCTCTGCTCTCCGCCTCTCCTGCCACACTACTGCTCCCAATCCTCTCCCACGTGCTGCTACTAACCCCCCTCCTCCTCTCCCTCAGCTTCTAACCTGCCTCGCTTTCGCTCGCTACTAACATTTTTTCTCCCCTCACATCGCACTAACTTACTGCTATGGCTGCTCCTTCTCTTCCTCAGAATTTCAACACTCTCTCCATTGATCGGCTCGAGCTCGCTCCCGATCAGAGCGCTATCAACTGGTACTCCTACACAGGGAGCATGCGCCGCCTCCTCGGCGTCATCCACATCCCCAACACCTCCTCCACCCTCCTCGACCTTGTCCTCCGCCATGCTGCCGCTCTCCCGCCAACGCCCCCTATGTCCCCTGGATCGGCCCCCACTCTCCCGCCTGACCCTGGACCTGAACCTGACGAACCAGATCTGCCCGCTGCCTCCACGGATCCTGTTCGCTAAGCCGCTGATGAAGCAGCCTACGATCTCGAGCGGCGTCGGTTCCTCACGCTCCGAGCGGACCATCGTGCGGCTCGCGAGCAATACGACATGCGCCAAGCTGCCATAATAAATCACCGCACCATGGCTGACCGCTACACTCTCGCGCTCGCTGAATATACCGCTAAAGCTGCTGCTTGGAAGGAATCTGACCTTTCTGCCTCTAATATTATCCTTGGTGGTCTCCCCCCCGCTCTAATGCGAGACTTTCAGGAACAAGAGCTTCACGCACCTGCCCTTTGGGCCTCCCTTCACGCCATGTTTGAGCGCCATGACGTCAACTCCGTGGGGCTGCTCCTTGACGAATACTGGGAGACAACGCTCGCAACCTGCACTGGTGCCGTCGCCTACACCGGCCGCATGACCTCTCTCGCCAAGCGACTTAAGGCTCGCCAGTCCGAACTCCCCCAGTTCATCCAGATAGATCGCCTTCTCCGCGGTCTCAACCCGTCCTACGACATGCACGTCATTGCCTTCCGCGAAAATCAGCCGTTTGCGGATGTTGCTGCTGTTGTTCAATGGATCATTGACACCGAAACCCGCCTCCTTCGTACCAACCCGCCTTCTCTCAACACGGCTCAAGCACCCGCGCCAGAACTCAACGCCACCCAGACACGCGGTGGTGGGCGTGGTGGTGGTCGCGGTGGCGGACGTGGAGGTGGGCGTGGTGGCGACCGTGGTGGTGGACGTGGTGGCACCTTTGGTGGACGCACTCCTTCTTGCACGGGCGGCCCTGGAGGAAGTGGACGTGGTGGTAGCGGACCTGGTCAACTCCCCCCTTGCCCCTACGTTCGCCGTCACGGCCCTCGCGCTGGGGAACCCTGCGGTCAAACCAACCACCCCATAACCACCTGCTTCGGCGTCTTGGACGATGCCTGGTTTGATCATGGTAACCATGGTACCCCCCCCTGCTGGTCCGCTCTTGCAAGTCGTCCCACTGTCCGTGATGTTCAACATCTCCCTCTCTATCAACCCTCCCACCTTAACCTCACCACTCCCTCTCCTCAACTGCAACTCCAGCAGTTTTTGCAGCATCTTCAGTCACAGCAGTTGCAGCAGCCCCCGCAGCTGCCCCCACAGCCGCAGCCGCACCAGCAGCCACAGCAGCCGCCCTGGGGAGGTGGGGGAGGCACAGCCGCCACAGCAGCGGCAGCGGCAACAGCAGCAGCAGCAGCAGCAGCAGCAACTGTCGCCTGGCAGCAGCAACCTCTTGGCTTCGGTTCTGCCGCCACCGCCGCCCATACCTCCCCAGCTGAGTCATACTCTAGCTTTCTTGGTCAGCTAGCTTCTCCCTTGCCTAGCACCACCTCCATGTATCCCTCTGTTCTTAATAACAGTGACTTCCAGTATTCTGCGTCTCCTTCCCCGCTCACCTTGGACTTTGTCCTCGATAGCGGGGCCACCGTCAGTGCCCTGAAGGACGCTGGCATTCTCAAAACACTATCTCTCCCCTCCACTGTTCATGGCGCTGATTCTAGCTTCTCGATCCCATGCACACACTCCTCTACTCTTCCGTGTCCCCTCTTTCCCTCCGGCACTATCACTGGCCTCCACATTCCCACTCTTCGTCACAACCTTATTTCTCTTCATGATCTCCAAAAAGCCGGCATTACCGCCATTTTTCCTGCCCACTTTTCCTATTGCGATCTCATTCATACCTCCACTGGCCGCCTTGTCTATCGCCTCCCAATCTGCCCCCGCACTCACCTTTACACACTACGTCTCCCTTTTCCGGCATCATGTCATCTCACCACCCGTCGCTCCACCTACCCTTCTCCCACCATTGCTCCTCCCCCTTCATCATCTCCCACTCCCTCTACCTCTCCCGACCTCTCCCTCTCTCACCCCGCCATTCTCCTCCATCACCGTCTTGGTCACCCCAACTTCACCACCCTCCGTGCCGCAATATCCTCTCGCCTCCTTCATGGGCTCCCCCTTGCCCTTCCTCCCCTACCCACCTCACCAGCTCCTCCTTGTCCCACTTGCATTCATGGCAAACTCAAACAAAAACCCCATCACAGCCATCCCTCATTTGCTACTGCTCCCCTAGATCTCGTCCACATGGACCTCTGGGGTCCCTCCCCCTCCCCTTCCCGCCAGGGCCACCGCTTTATGCTCGTCCTCGTAGACGACCATAGCCGCTACTCCTCTGTGTTTCTACTCCACACGAAAGCTGAAGCAGCCGCTGTCATCATCGCCTGGGCCGAACAAGCGCGCGTGCACTTCGGCCGACCCATCCGTCGCCTTCACTCTGACGGTGGCGGGGAGTTTCTCAACCATACCATTGCCTCCTACTGCAAAGCACATGGCACTCAACAGACGTCCACTCTCCCTCATTCTCCGCAACAAAACGGTGTAGCTGAAAGTCGCATCCGTGAGATCACCAAAACTGCCCGCTGTCTCCTCACCCATGCATCTACCCCTCCCTCCCTTTGGGGCTATGCTCTCACTCATGCCGCCCTTCTCACCAACCTCTACCCTCACCCCCACCATCCCAACCTCACTCCCACTGAGCTTTGGTGCAACACCAAACCTGATGCCTCCGTCCTTCGCGTCTGGGGCTGCAAATCCTTTGTTCTCATTCCTCCCGCAGACCGTTCCCGCAAAGCAGGAAAACTTGCCTCCAAAGCATTGGAGTGCGTCTACCTCGGCCACAATCGTGGCTCTCCTGGGTACCTCTTCCTTCATCCTCCCTCCGGACGCCTCATTCGCAGCCGCGATGTCGTCTTCGATGAAACCATCCCCTACTACTCCTCTCCTCCTCCCTCCGACCCTCTCCCCCCACCCTCCCGCCCACTCACCTGGGCGGATGCCCTTCTTCCTCCTCTCCTCCCATCTGCTCCACTCCTCCCAACTACTCCACTCTCACCTCCACCTTCCTCGGCTGATATCTATGATCCTGCTGCCTCACCTGCCCTTTCCACCGCTCCCCCTCCTCCCTCTCCCCCTCCTCCCTCCCCTCCCACCCACCTCCCTCCAGCTTCTCCTCCTCCATCCTCGCCCGCCGCACCTCCTGCATCCTCCCCACGTCCTCGCACTTCTCTCACCTCACGCTCTCCCTTCCTCCTCCCACGCATGCACACTCGCTCCCTTGACCCCATTCTTGGTCAACCACCTCTCATTCATGAAGACTCCCATGAGGAGTTTTGTGCCATTCACACTCACGTTCCTTCCCTTAACCCTGTGTACCTTGCCCTTTTGGGCGCGGTTGTACTTGGCACTCCCTCCTCACCTCTCATCTTCACGCCTACCACATTCCAGGAGGCAATCACGTGCCCTGACGCTGACAAATGGCTGGAGGCCATTCGCAAGGAGTGCGACGCCTTCATTCGCAATGATTCCTTCGTCGATGTCAAGCCGCCTCCAGATGCCAACATTGTCGCTGGCAAGTGGGTCTTCCGGGTGAAGCAACTTCCGGGGGAGGAGCCCGTCTACAAAGCCCGTTACTGCGCCAAGGGCTTCACACAGACCTATGCCAAGGACTTTTGGGAAACCTTCTCACCTACCGCAAAATTCGGGACCCTTCGCACGCTTCTCGACTTTGGCTCCCGCAACGGCATGGAGATCTCATCAATGGATGTCTCTAACGCTTTTCTTCAGGGGAACCTCCACGAACAAATCTTCCTCGACCGCCCAGATGGCTTCCATGAAGCCTTCCCACCAGACACTGTCTGGGAACTACGCCGTCCAGTCTACGGCCTGAAGCAGGCTCCTCGGGAATGGCATGCTAAGCTGGCATCTACACTCTGTGCTCTCGGATTTCAACCATCTCACTCTGACGCCAGTCTCTTCATTCGGACCCGTCCCAGCCGCTTCTTCGTCCTAGTCTATGTTGACGACATGGTGCTCCTCGCCGACACCTCCGCCGACATGACCGACGTTAAGGAAGAACTACAAGCTCGTCTCCAGTGCAAGGACCTTGGCGAATTACGCCACTACTTGGGCATGGAGATCACACGCGATCGAGCTGCCCGCACCATCACCTTATCTCAATCTCACTATCTTCAGCAGGTGTTGGAGCGGTTCGACATGGCTCTCGCCAACCCAGTGGCCACTCCCCTTCCATTCGGCCATGGGCTTGCTCCACCCACCTCCCCCTCCGCCTCCACTCAGCCCTATGCGGAACTGGTTGGCTCCATCATGTATGCCATGATGGGGACCCGTCCCGACCTCGCCTACCCCATCAGCGTCCTGGCGCGTTTCGTCGGTACCGGTCGTCACACCTCCGTGCATTGGAGAGCCGCCAAACGAGTCCTACGCTACCTCCGTGGCACTCAGGACCATGTTCTC